TGTTGATGTTTTCAGGTTTCTGATGTGTAGTTCTTCAGTTCAGCAAAAGAGGGGCATCAACTCAACTGTGTTATGCTCTCGGGGTGCTTGAATTAGGTTGAGGCTGTCCAGATTGACATTCCAGAGCCTACTCCAAAATCTGACTTCTACTCCTGAACTACCAAACTGGGCCCTAGTCTACCCTAGGGTGTTATTTTGAAATAAACCCTCTTAGGTTGAATTTATAAGTGGAGCATCCATAGTACCAAGCCCATTATTTCAAAATAACAGGCCACCTATTTTGAAATTTGTACTCCTGGTTTCCTCGGGGAATAATGCTAATTTCAAAATAGCATTAGTGTGGATGCTCCAGTGTCGCTATTTTAAAATAACTACCCCACAGAGTAATTCAAGACAAAACCCATAGTGATGAGACAGGAGTTGCCTAGGGAAAAATACAGAGCAGTCTGAGGCAGGAGGCAAACTGGAGATCAGAACCACAAATCAGCAATCAGAGTCAGGCCAGGGTACCAAACAGCCAAAGGCAGGAGCCAATGTGGACACGAAGAACCATAAGTCAGATGCCAGTAAATCAAGACACAAGAACTGGGTGGAACCCAGTTGTTCAAACAGCTTCCTGTTCCTGCTTCTGGTTTAAGTAGGCCCAGGGAGCCAGTCAGTCAACGCTGGGCCTCCACCAGTTGGACTTCAGGGACAGAGCTGCACAATGGGGTTAGGCTCCATTGGTCACAGGTAAGCCTTTATCATCTGGCTGGCAGGTAGAGAGTTGTAGCATAGTTGCGCCCATGAACTCTGCAGATTGGGTTTGAGGCTTGTAGTCCATGACAATATGTTTTATCCATCTGTTTTGGCATCCTATTTATGTATGGCAATTTAGCATCTTTTGTTTTGTTTGCATATCTATGTGCTATCGATTCCACATCCAAATACTACACACTTACAAACTTTATCCTTTATTCTGAGTTCTAGTAAGATCACAAATATGCCCACTGAAACAAACTTTCTATGTGTCCAAAAGCTTTTATAATATATTTAAAGTATATGCTTAGATACTAGTGAATACTAATTTCAGTTTAAGTAATTTTCCACATCAAATATAGTCATTATTAGGGTGCTTTGATTGCTACCTGTTGTAACATTACCTATCAAAGGAATAAACCAGTCTCCAAACAAGAAGAATTACAAGTTCTGTAATCTCATCTCATCAATTCACATTTTCAGACGCATCCCGTTCAAGAGAAATGATTGATCAGTAGCTTCTCAGGTAATATGCACAGAATGGTGTGATTTGGTAGGAGCAAAGAAACATTTCACACACCTATTTATCCTTTACTGAATTTGTGAGGAAAGAAAAAGACTGGTCATAAAGCAATAGAGAAGAAAAAGTGGGGTGGAATATACTTTATATCCTATTTTTATTCCATGGCTAGTGACGCTGGAATTGTTGGAATTAAAAATGGATAGCGGCATTCCCCTTTCTTTGCTAGCAATGTTCTTTTTTTTCCCCTTTAAAAATCATGGGGAGAAAACTTGTGCTAGAGTACACCAAAAGTGACTGTTTCCTACTTATCCTGATCATAAGCAGTGGACACACTACTATCTCAGATTTTTGTCTTCATGAAGAAAGAAATACTTGAATGCACTATTGAAAATCGTTTTCAAAAGGATTCCAAGCAATTTCCCCAAGAAAATGATAAATGTACTTACTAATTCCTTGAAAGAGTTCCTCTATGTTAATAGCATTCTTTGCACTGGTTTCAACAACAATTGCACCTATAGATTCTGCATATTCTTTGGCATCCTTCATAGGTACCTCCCTTAAAAAAAGTTTTTATAAGCAAACAAATTACTGTGTATTTATAAAATATATATATATATAATATAAAATAATGTATCTATATCAGTCTGAAAGACATCTCAAGTCACATTGTTCCTAGTTTCAATTACATAAATTTGGATCTTCCTCTGGTGCTGACATTCCTTGCTTCTCAAATTATAAATAAGTTAAGAGTCCTAGTCTTCCTTTCATTGAAGTTCATGTGAATTTAGCCATGTAATTTACTATGAGCAGACCCAAGCTGTCAAAGCCCATCAAGACTAACCACATGTCTTTTGGGTGTCTTGAGTCTAGCCAGACACCTATATATTAGAGAACTGTAAAAAGAAACAAAACAAACCACCAACACCAGTGGAAAATGTGATCATTGTTGGAAGTACCAAAGGAAACTAAATTAGCCTTTTACTAGAAGTCAAATCTGTTCCTCTGTTGTCCCCCGGTTATTTCTCCTCGGAGCAGTTTCTGTGGTAATGGAAACCACTTAATCAAGACTAGAGGAACTTTGTTTGGTCTGTCTTCTTTTGCCTCTATTCACATTTGCCATACCAATGGCTGCCAGTCTAGAGTCTAGCAGAACATATCTGGCAAAGTAGCTGGTAAAAATTCCATATACATAAACAGAGCTGCCAAAAGTCATGTAGAAATAGCAGGTTGCTCATGTATGCCCACATTAGTTACATTATATTTTTAAATCCCCTTGTACACAAGTATTTGTATTTTCTATTCGGTGGCGTTAATGTAATAGATTGATACATAAATTTTACCTAACGCCATTTCCAGTTAAGTAAACCTTAAGATAAAAACACCAAAGAACACACACACTATATATATTACATGTTCAAACAGATTTCTGCTAGAACAATGACCATGTCATGTATAAAATATATCTTGCTGTCGAGGTATCCACAAAAGTCCTCTTATTATAACACCAGCAAAGTAGTTTAGGAACATGTAAAGTGAGTGGAAAAAAATTACTGACTGTAAGAAAAGTGTCTGAAGACCTCTCTCATAATTCTGAACATCAGCAGAAAGTATTAGCAGAGTATGGTATTTTGTGCAAATATTAGCCTATATGGCCATTAAAGAGGCAAATGGGCATTGCACAAGTGTACGGAGAATCATCACCATAAAACTTCCCTCCTGAGGGCAAGCAGTTAATAGTTCATTGCCACATGCATGGCACAGCTAAGCAAATTCATGTTACTAAAACATTGTATGTTATATTTTAACATAATAGGTCACCCCATCTGCACTATGTGATTGTGCTTTCTAACTGAATCACAAAACTTGGGATTCTTTAATTAATCAAGTAAAGTTACCGTTGAGAGCATTAAAGCAATATATTTAAATGAGACCCAAGGGCAACCAGAAAAGACCACAAACTCCGCTTAGTATTAGTATGCTAAATTAAAAAACAAAACTTTATTTGTTCCCCCTATGGAGAGCCTTTCTGCTTTCTACTATTCATACTAGTAAGTTGGAAGCCATCTATTGAATTTTATGGGACTCAGCCAGCCTTGATGTCTTAACAGAAGCATAGTGAACTGCCATGTAAGGCACCAAGCCAATACACAAACTGTGTCCTTCACTCCCAGGCCACAAGACAGTGGGAGCCCTATTCAGGAGGCCCTGGGGAGAACGAGTACTTTACTGTTCTGTTCAATAATTCCTCTAGCAGGTTCTAGAGTGATACTGAAAGCCTATTTACAGGGCTACTGTCCTCAGAAATGTCTTCAGTCAACAAAGCACCTGATCACATGCTTTGCTGAATCAAAGCCAATGTCATGACTTTAAGGGGCAGAGGAATAAATGTGAAATATCATGGGCACGGAGAGAGTCCTTGAGGATCTAAGATGAAAATATCCTAAATGACCAAAAATAACCTAAAAGATCAAAGACCTTGGGCTCATACTGCTGAAGACAACGCACTCAACACAATTCATCTCTCAAATAACAAAAAGCACATTGATCACCCCAAAGGGTTATTTGTCATATAACAACATATTTCCCATGGCTACAAGAGTACACACAATCCCAAACATGAGGTAAGATGGGCCATGACTAGCGAGATCTTGACTCTTCTGTAGAGGAATCAAGTCAGACTCTAAGGAGATTCTTTCTCCTCACACCTAGGCGACAAATCTGTTATTTAAGGCTTGTGAGAGCCCTTATGTTCTTGCAGCTGTACTTTATGCAATAAGGCTATCCTCCTGCATCTGCCATTAACTCTTCATTTGATTAAATCAGCATCTCTAGCACTCACACGTTAATCAGGCACTTTTGAGCTATGCATGCGGTAACTGGAACTAGTTACATACAGTACAATGGAATTAAAAGTCCCATATGGTGCCAATCTGTGTAATGTGCCAACTGCAATATATTCCACACCTCTTAACACAAATGAAAAAACAAAAGGTATCAGGTGTCATCGATTCAACTAGCCCAAAGCCTGCAGCATGCACAGAAACTGCATCTGCCATTCTGCAATTCTGGTTAAACCAGTGGAAGGGCAGCAAAAAAAAAAAAAAAAAAAAAGAGTTCAGAGGCTGGGATGCTGCTGTAGTTCAGGCCTGACTCTAAATGATGGAAATCGAAGGTAGTGATCTCAGTGGGGGACTGCACCACGATTAGCACTACAGATGACAATATAAACATGGTTATGTGAAGAAGGAAAGCAGTGCATACCAATAGCATTTTAATATCCAATAGATGCATTACCTGAGATCAGAAAGATCACATTTGTTGCCAGCAATGGCCATGACAATGTTTTCAGGACCATGTTCTTTTAATTCTTTTACCCATTTCTTCAAAGTATGGAAAGAATCCTAAACCAAACAAACAAGCAAAAAAAGAAGAAAAAAACAGCTATCAGAAGCTCCCTGATTTGGCAGTCATTTTTCTGAAATTACAGGAAGGACACACAGAAAACCCTCATGTGAAATGCATAACAGACTGTGAAATGTAATCTCCTCCTGTGAAATCTGGTCGTTTGTGAACTTTTACCCTGTGCTATATCAATTTCACAGGGGAGACCAGAGTATCTCAAATTGGGGGTCCTGATCCAAAAGAAAGTCCCAGGAGGGTTACAAGGTTATTTTACGGTATTGCCTCCCTTATTTCTGCACTGCCTTCAGAGCTGGGAAGCCAGAGAGTGGCAGATGGTGGCTAGGCACCCAGCTCTAAAGTCAGCACTCTGCCAGCAGCAGTGCAGAAGTAAGGATGGTAATACCAAACCATGCCACCCTTACTTCTACCCATGCCACCATGCTGATTCCTTCTGAGCTAGCTTGCCAAAGATTAGTGGTTGCTTACTGCGGGTCCAGCTCTGAAATAACAGTGGCAATACCATACCATGTCATCCTTAGTTCTGTGCAGCTGCTGCTGGTAGCTCTGCCTTCAGAGCTGGGCTCCCTGTCAGCAGTCCCCACTCTCCAGCTGCCTACCTGTGAAGACAGTGCCACTGCCTGCAACCCCCATACAGTAACCTGGCAACTCCCTTCCAATTCCTTTTGGGGTCAACGTCCCTACAATTACAACACTGAATTTCAGATTTAAATAGCTGAAATAATGAAAATTTCTATTGTTAAAATCCTATGAATATGAAATTGACCAAAGTGCATTGTACTCAAGTGACAGTGATCCCCAGGCATAATTGATGTTACCAATAGTCCATCAAGTCAAATTTTCTCCTCAGAAATACATGTGCCGCTTCTGCTGAAATCAATGGGAGTGGTAAGGTAACTCTGAGGAAAGTGTGGCCTTGTATGTGGGATATAATGTACATCCCACAAAGCTATGCTATACTTAAATATTAAACTTTCAGAGAATGAAAGTTGCTGCACAGGCATTCTGAATAAGGATGACAGGACTAAGTTCCACCTTCACAAGGTCTACAGACTTTCTGACCAACTATGAGTCATTTCAGTTAAAAATAAAAACTTATGTCCTGGTATGCAGCGATGAACAACGGGTCATTACACTAATGCAATGGTAAACTGAGCCAGACTTTTATTTGTAAAAGTAAATAATTCAGTTGGCAAGAGAGAAGAAACAGATAAGCAAAATGTTGCAGCCATTCATCTACTAATGCTTCGTCTATAACAACATCATCCCCTGGGATTTCTTTTAAAATTAAAACTTTATTCTTTGAATTTTAATAGTAGCAAGTTCAATGAGGGTAGGGCAAAGATCACCAGCTGGATGACAAGGGAATGGGGCTACTTTTTCAGCTGACAGTATACTTCCATTTCAAATAATAATGTTGAGCCAAAGATTATTTCATTGCATTGTTTCAAAGTAAACCAACTCCAGAAGAGTTCAACTCTCAAACTGCAAATGCAAGCTTGTAGCCACATTTCTGAAAGATTAATTTCCAGTTTGTAAACCAGTTGATTTGTTTAATAGTAGGAAAAATCCAGTACGACATCTTGTTCATCTCAAAGAGGCAAATTCAGAATTTTCCCCTGAAGTATAGTCTCTAGTGTTTTCTCTAGTGAACTTAGGGAATGGCACTTCTGCTACAGTTTTGCCAATACATTAAGTCATTAAGCAAACTATGTATACTACAGGAATTGCAAACAGAAAGGCTTTACCTGTTTTGTGATATCATATACTATAACAGCTGCTGCTGATCCCCGATAGTACATTGGTGCCAAAGAATGAAACTGTTAAAAGACCAACAAAACATCATAAATCAATTAAAGCTTTTACATGTTGCCAGGTCACAAAGACATACCATGATTGCATCATATTTTTTCACCAGAAAGAGACTGAGCTCCTTGAATGTGCGCCTAATTTGCGTTGCAGTAGGACTTCTAAAAAAAGGGCTGTTCTTTATTCTGTTGGACTCATACAATTAGCACATTGAGTTCTACATATTTTTCTTGGTGTGTTTTGGGTTCTTTTGCTTTTTTGTTTTTTGAAGCATGGTACGTGATCTGCACTAAAAAGGCTTGGGGAGAAACTAAAGAACATAAGAATGGCCAGACTGGGTCAAACCAAAGGTCCATCTAGCCCAGTATCCTGCCTGCCAACAGTTATCAATGCCAGGAGCTTCGGAATTAACAGAACAATGATCAAGTGATCCCTTTTGTCTACTCCCAGCTTCTGGCAATGAGAAGCTAGGGACACACAGAGCACGAGGTTACATTCCAGACCATCTTGGCTTACAGCCACTGATGTATGTATTTTCCAGGAACTTATCTAGTTCTTTTTTTTTTTTTTGGTCTGCATAACATCCTCACCAATAAGCTCTACAGATTGATTATCTGTTGTATGAAGTACTTCCTTTTGTTTACTTTAAACCTACTGCCTATTAATTTTATTTGGTGACCCCCGATTCTTGTATAATGGGAAGTAGTAAATCACACTGTCTTATTCATTTTCCTCAGCCCAGTCACAATTTCATAGTCCTCTATAATATTACTTCTTAGTCATCTCTTTTCCAAGATGGCAAATCCCCGTCTTAATCTTTTCTCTTATGGAAGCTAATCCACACCTTTAGTAATTTTTGTTGCCCTTTTCTGTAGCTTTTCCAATTCTAATATATCTTTTTTGTGAAGGGGTGACCAACACTGTAGCCAGTATTCCAGGTGTGTGTGTCCCATGGTACTATGATATTTTCTCTCTTATTATCTATCCCTTTCCAAATGATTACTGTTTGCTTTTTTGACTTCTATTACAAATAGACCAGATGTTTTCAGAGAACTATCCACAAAGACTCCAAGATCTTTCTTGTGTGGTGACAGCTAATTTAGATCCTTTTATTTTGTATGTAGAGTTAGAATTATGTTTTCCAAAGTGCCTTATTTTGTATTTGTCAACACTGAATATTTCTTGCCCTTCTCTCATCCCATAACTGCTTACTTTGTTTAAGAGCCTATCATGAGGGACCTTGTTAAAGGCTTTCTGAAAGTCCAAAATACAATATCCACTGGATCACCTTTTTCCATGCTTGCTGACCTCCCTCAAAGGTATGAATTTCCCAGCCTGTAACTGCCAGGATTGCCTCTTCTGGAGTCCTTTTTAAAATCTGGTATCACATTAGCTACTATTCTCCAATCGTCTGGTACAGAAGTTGATTTAAATGACAGGTTACATACCACAATTAGTAGTCTGCAAATTCATATTTGAATTTCTTCAGAACTCTTGAGAGAATGCCATCTGGTCTTGGCGACTTATTACTGTTAAATGTGTCAGTTTGTTCCAAAACCTCTTTTGACACCTTAATCTGGGACAGTTTATTAAATTTGTCACCTAAAGAGAATGGCTCAGGTGTGGGAATCTCCACCCAACCTCTGTAGGGAAGACTGACACAAAGAATTCATTTAGCTTCTAAACAATGGCCTTATTTTCTTTGAATATTTCTTTAGCACCTTGATCATCCTTGAATACTTTTTAGCACCATTGCCTGTTTGGCAGACTTCCTGCTTCTGATGCATTTAAAACATTTTTTATGCTCATTTTTGAATCTTCACATTCTTTTCTGGCCTGCCTAATCATACTTTTACACTTGATTTGGCAGAGTTTGTTCCTTTCTATTTTCCTCAGTAGAATTTAACTTCCAATTTTAAAAAGACCCTTTTGCCTCTAACACCTTTTACTTTGTTGTCTAGGCATGGTGGCAGTTTTTGGATCCTTTTACTATATTTGTTAATTTGGGTATATATTTAATTTGACCTTTTATTATGGTGTTTTTAAAAAGTTTCCATGCATCTTGTAGGCATTTCACTTTTATGAGTATATTTTTAAATTTCCATTTATCTAGCGTCTTCATTTTTGTATAGTTCCCCTTTCTAAAATTCAGTACTATTGTGGAAGACTTCTTTGGTGTCCCTGCCCTGAGGAATGTTAAATTTAATTAAGTTATGGTTTAATTTAGATTTAAGTGATGTATAGGACTTCTACTGGTAGTCAACAAAGGCATGAATTCTAGATATGGCCAACAGCATTCAACCCTGGGACTAAAGAGGAATAAAACATTTACAAAGTCACTCTCGTATAAATAAAAAATCAAAATGTATAGTTTATAATAAAATTGTAACTAACTGACAGATAATTATCTTCCAAATAGAGATGCAGTATAATTTCTTTCAAATGTAATTTCTTTTCATTGCAGCTTTAATTTCAAGGAACAGCTTCTTTTTAAAGAAAGCATTAAAATAGTTTACTAAACAGCTGAAAAACAGCTGCACTTATGATCACTGGTGACACATAGCAGGGGAAGGAGAGACAGCACTAGCCCCACCCCTCCCTGCTCCTGCCCACTCTCGCCCCAGCACTCCCCCACGTGGCAAGAAGCTGCCCAGCCTGCTCCTTGTCCACAACCAGTGAGTGAAGGGTGGCAGGACTGTCGCTGTGAGGACTGGTGATACCAACACTGGCCCTTCTGCCCTAGGGATGCGGGGCTGCATGTGTACCTATGTGCACCCCCACGTGTCACCACTGCTTTTGTTTGTTTACAAGACTAATCACAAAGTACCTGGTTTAGAATTTAACCTCATACTAGTACAGAGGCAGGAAATTTTTTTGCTTATTCATCTAAGATGGATTCTTATCTATAACTAAAATAATCTAACTTGAAAAATAAGTTCAGTCTTTTTTAATCTCATTGCAGCTACATAATAATTTATTATTTGCGTGTCCAGCATCATCTTGCGAATTTCGGCTTGTTCATTCTCCTAGGTGAGTAATTTTTTTTTACATGGAAATAACACACCATTAATTTTTTCGGGATTAACATTCATCATAGTCAAGAGCAGACAAACCAATCTGTGCCAGGCTGAAAATTCTGCAAGGTTAATATCAGGGATGTAAAAAATATAGAACAACATTAACCATGTAACCAATCATGGTTAGGGACGGAATGGTCACCACTACCAGTGTTCCCTCTAAGATTTTCCATCCATGAACAGAGTCAGTTTTGTCGTATGCACCAGTATTGAGTTCATGTGCACTTGTTCGGATGTGTGTCACTGTGGCACCCAAGTTATTAACAAATATCTTCTGCCCTTTCCCCTCATTGTCTTCTCTTGGCCCCTGGCATTTGTCTCTCCTGCACCCTGCCCCTTGGTGCCTTCCCCTTTCTTCTCCTGCCCTGGCCCCCTCCTCTCACCTCAGCACAAGCCCCTTCCTCTCCTCACCCCCACCTCCCCCTTAGTTCTCCCATTGCCCCTTCCCTTCTGCATTACTGACATCATCATCCCTCAACCCCCCGCTAGTCCCCTGGCTCTAGTCCCCTGGTGCTGGGGCGGGGCAGCATGGCGGGGGCTGCCCCATGTGCCAGGGCTGACGCCAAGGCCACGGTGCTATTTTCAGTACCCTAGCTCCAGCCCAGGAGCAGCTGGACTGCAGCCTGGCTCAAGTCTTGGCACACGGGGCAGCTGTCCGCCACGTGGCCCAACCCTGGGAGCAGCTGGGAATGGGGCGGCAAAGGCAGATTCTGGGGTCGGGACCGCAGTACTAAAAATAGCACCGCAGCCTCGGCTCCAGTCCTGGCACATGCTGCAGCCGCCCGCCATACTGCCCCACCCCGGCATCCGTCCCTGGCTCCAGTCCCATGGGATCTGCCCCTCTCCTGGGTCCAGCAACCAGACACCATCCTGGGATCCCAGCAGCCTTCCTCACTGCTTCAGCCGGCCGTCGGCACATGTTCCCAGTTGCTTACCCTGCCACTGCAGCTGGCCCGCAATGGGGTCCTGGCAACTGGCCTTGCCGCTGCATACTTTTGGTTGCCAACAGGGTCCCAGCAGCTGGCAGGGTCCTGGCAGCTGGCCCTGCCATCGCAGTCAGCCCCGCCACCGCGGGCACTCGGCCACCGGCCCTTCTGTCATACAGTTTAAGTTGCCAGTGGGGTCCCAGTAGGTGAGTTAACCGTTTAAGTAACCAATAAGCATCAGCTTATTGGTTCATTGTTTAAACACTAACATCACTAGTTAATAAACTACAAAGATGTATGTAGTGCTTTAAAAACACATAAGAGGACAAGGTCTGATTTTTCCAGTTCCCTGTATCTTGTGTCATTTCCTATTGTAAAAACTGAGCTAACTTTCCCAGCTGACAATATTTGTTTCCTTCCTTATTTTATACTAATATTTTTTAGACATAAGTCATTTAAAGAAAAGAAACAGTAGCCCAAACTTTAAAAATAAACAAGCTTAAAGTTTAGGGTGCTAAATGCATTTAAACAAGTGGTATAATCTTCCAGGGTATGTCTACACTACCCTCCTAGTTCGAACTAGGGGGGGTAATGTAGTCATTCGGAGTTGCAAATGAAGCCCAGGATTTGAATTTCCCGGGCTTCATTTGCATAAAGCCGGCCGGCGCCATTTTTAAATGCCGGCTAGTTCGGACCCCGTGCCGCGCGGCTACACGCGGCACGGACTAGCTAGTTCGGATTAGGCTTCCTATCTGAACTAGCTGTACGCCTCATGTGCTACACGCGGCACGAATTAGCTAGTTCGGATTAGGCTTCCTATCTGAACTAGCTGTACGCCTCATGGAACGAGGTGTACAGCTAGTTCGGATTAGGAAGCCTAATCCGAACTAGCTAGTCTGTGCCACGTGTAGCCGCGCGGCACGGGGTCCGAACTAGCCGGCATTTAAAAATGGCGCCGGACGGCTTTATGCAAATGAAGCCCGGGAAATTCAAATCCCGGGCTTCAGT